TCCTCCTTCCTTCAATCGCCCGACTGACATGGACGCCGGGACGCCGACCTTTTCCCCCACTCCCAGAGCTCCTTCGCGGGAAGCCCACGTGTCTGCTCAGCTGTGCCGCCGTCTCCTAGGCAACCCTGTGCTTCGTCCGGACCTGTCACATCAGTCACCTGGGGATCAGGAGAGACGTCTCCCCACAAACTCGCCGACACCGGCTCCTCTCCAGCCGCACAGCCCTGCGCCCACTCTCCGCTGCAGCCGGTCACGGTAGGTGAGACATCTCAGGCTAGAGGGGACATCTCAGGGCGGATACACGGGGGGGAGGCTGCGAAGAGTGCTTAAACCTCACTCACCCGCGCCGCCATGCTCAGGCTCCACCCCTCCCCTGGTCCCTCCTTTTGGTCTCTTGCGGCTGAACCTTGCAGCGAAGTTGCAATCCTTTTTAAAACCGATATAATAGCGTGCCGGCGGGTAATTGAGGTAGCAATGGGGAGATGCATGGTCTTAGACGTCTCTGTTAGGGGGCAGGACCTGCGCCTGATCAATATCTATGGACCCCAGTCAAAATGGGGCAGGAAATGCCTCCTCACAAAGATCAAGCCCTTCCTTTTTACGTCCCAGCAGGTCGTCTTTGGAGGTGACTTTAACACCATAATTAGGCCTGAAGACAGGAGAGGCTCCATAGACAGGCTGGGTTATGATGGCGTTTTTCTCAGAGATTTGGTTAGACAGGCAGGCCTGGTAGATGTGCACATTAAGCACTGCCCTGGCAGCACGGGGTTCACATTTCAGAGAGGGAATAGTCAGAGCAGGATAGACAGGTTTTTTTTAAAAGGAGAACTCTGCATTCTCGGCTCCTGAGAGTTGAAGGCAGTGGAGTTCTCTGACCACTGTATGCTGTCTGTGACTCTGAATGCCTTGGACACTCCACCCAGGGGAAGGGGTGTCTGGAAACTGAATTCGGCTCTCCTGGAAGATGTAGAGGTAAGACATTCCTTTGAGGATTTTTTTCAGGCACAGGTTTCTATTCTGGACTTTTGCAGCAGTAAGTCAGAGTGGTGGGAGCTTGTGAAACAAAGGGGCGATTGGACTTTTCAAGGCCATAAGTAAGAAGAAGCAGCTTGGTATGTATATTGCCTACCAGCATTTGCGGAGGAAGCTTGATCGTCTTGTCTCGTATGGAGGAGATCCAGGGGAGATCTCTGAAGTGAAGCTTCTTCTTAGGAAGTGTCAATACGACCGGCATGCCTCCTTGGTTCTGGAGAGGGATTATGGGAAATATCACTCACCTGATCCTTACCAGAACTGTAAGCAAGGCATAGCAGTTAAGACGGTCATTGGCCTGAAAGACAGTACGGGTTCCCTGATAAAGTCCAGATCAGGGATCTTGGAGATCTTTGGGGTCGTATTATGCAGACCTCCTGGGAAGAAAGGACCTTAGCCGGGATAGGATGGAAAGCTTTCTGGATTCTACTCCAGGATTGGGAAATGGTGCATTGCTTTTGATGAATTTGACAGAACCAATTTCAGCAGATGAGGTAGTTCATGCTATAGACAAACTGGCTACCAAAAAATCGCCTGGGCCAGATGGATTGACAGCTGAATTTTACAAGTGTTTAAGTCCATTCTGGCTCCCTTTTTAGCGGAGGTTTTTTAACAGCTGTCTAGAAGAGGGTTCGCTCCCTCCCTCCATGAGGCAATCTGCTGTGATTCTTCTGTCAAAAGGTAAAGACCCCTCAATGATTGAGAACTGGCGCCCCATCAGTCTTCTCAATGTTGATAGAAAGATCTTGGCAAAGATTCTTTTTTGGCACTTGTCGTCAGTAGCAGACGATTTGTTGTCCAGCCATCAGCACTGTTCGGTCCAAGGTAGAAGTACCTTTTCAGCAGTTTTGGCTATCCGGGAGGCTTTGGAACGATGCAGGGCTGCTGGATGGAGAAAGTACTTGCTGGCATTGGATCAGGCAAAAGCTTTTGATCGAGTGAATCATGAATATCTGTGGTTGCTGCTTGGTAGATACGGCCTGCAGGGGAGGTTTATAGATTGGCTGAAGACATTATATAAAGGGGCTGAGAGCTTCCCACTTGTTAATGGTTGGGTTGGGAGGCCTTTTGAGGTCGGCTCTGGTGTGCGCCAGGGATGTCCTTTGAGAGTCCCCCTGCTGTATGCTTTCGCAATCGACCCCTTTGTAAGAAGGAAGACTAGAGGGCGCATCGTTGTGCGGGGTGCCTCTGGGCATTGCTGGTGTGCCACCTTTGAAGGTCGTTGCCTATGCTGATGATGTGTCTGTTATTATCTCTGGGGCTGAGGAGGCACAGGAGGTGGTCTCTGTGATAGAGCAGTACACGGAGGCTTCTGGCTCTAAAGTCAACCATGAAAAGAGTGAAGTTTTCTCGGATGGATGAGGAGGGTGAAAGCTTCAAACTTCCGGATGCCTTCCCAGAGCCCCAGCAGGAAATTAAAATTTTGGGCATCAAATTTGGTCGTGGTGACTATGGTCATCGAATAAATGGGAAAGCAGGTTGGTAGTTGCCAATGCCAAAGTAGCAAGCTGGAAGAGATGGAGGCTTTCTCTTGAGAGAGAGGGTTGACTTGATCAAAACTTACCTGATACCGATCTTTTTATGTGTCAGCTTCGTCTGTATCTTGCCGGTATCTCTCTATGCACGGGTCTACAGCTGTTTTTTCCAACTGTTATGGGGAAACAGGCTGAACCTGATCAAACGCAATGTAACTTACCTGTCCAGGCGGGAGGGTGGCCTTAGGAATTGGTCAACCCGATAGTTTTTTCTTTTCTTTGCTCTTTTTAAAGTACAATCTTGGTAATATGTTAGCAGAGACCCCCGCCGGGATGGGTGGGGTATTTTTCAGTCTTGGTTTAGGCCTTTTCTGCATTGCTGGGAAGATGGCGGCCCAGTGAAAAGTCTGAGAGTCCGACATGGCAAGCTCCCGGCTTATGTTGCCCCGTGTCTGAAAATACTTCGGCAGTGGCAGGTGACAGTGGAGGATATCAGGTCCCTTCCCAGGAAGCTTCTGGGGGATAACTTCGCCAGAGAATTTTGGCTTCTGCTTTCAGTGTGTCACTGGCCTTAAAGGATTGCCCAGGCTCCGTAATGAGGGAGGGATTGCGTTTAATTTAACTTGGAGAGAATCCCTTTGAAGTTTAGGGATCAAGCCTGGCTCGCTTTCCATGGAAGGCTCTATGTGAGAGGGAACCTGAAGCACCGCCCTGTGGATGATCGGGATTGTCCTAGAGCAGAGTGTGTTGGTAAAGTGGAGTCTATGGACCACTTTCTGCTCCAGTGTGCCTTTAAACATAGAGGTGTATAAAAGGGTGGGGAGGGTTCTGGGCATCCCCTTTCTCTATCGCATGAGTTATGCAGAGTGGGTGTACGGGGCATTCCCAGCTCGCTGGGACTTTTGATTTGGATACACTTTTTCTAGTTAGTATAGTTGTTCGGTACTTCACATGGAACGCACGGTGTCAGATTACCCTGCGGAAGAAAGTCCTCCCTGTAGAGGTGGTGGTGCACGATATTCTGGTGTGGGTTGGGAAGATTCGGGGTCTTGAGAGGGCAGAGAGCCTCGGGCGGTCTGGATAAGGGCGTGGAGGAATATCAGACCTGCCTTTGGTGAACTGTCCATCTCTGGGTGAGGGGTTCTATCCTTATACTGTTCTTTTCACTCCCGTAGTTTTTGTTGATTAAGATCTTTTTTTGAAGAAGGGCTGCATGCATAAGGGGGGCGGGGTGGTTTCTTGACCTCACAGGTTTGATGTTCTGGTGTAGTGATGTGAGTGGTAGTACGATTTATTTCCCCAATTATGTCATGTTCATTTCTGAGACGTTTGCTTTTGTCTGACAGCAGATTTTGCTATGTTTATTTTCGTTTTGCTGTAAATATATATATAATTTATTTTTTTTTATATTCTGTATAATATTTTATGTTTATTGATTGCAAGACTTTTTAATAAAGAAAAATTTGGAAGAATGTCCCTTACATTGGGGGTCAGTGGGAAGAATGTCCCTTACATTGGTGGTCAGTGGGAAGAATGTCCCTTACATTGGTGATATGTGGGAAGAATGCTCCTTACATTGGAGGCCAGTGGGAAAGAATGTCCCTTACATTGGTGATATGTGAGAAGAATGCTCCTTACATTGGGGGTCAGTGGGAAGAATGTCCCTTACATTGGTGGTCAGTGGGAAGAATGCTCCTTACATTGGTGGTCAGGGGGAAGAATGTCCCTTACATTGGTGATCAGTGGGAAGAATGCCCCTTACATTGGTGAGTCAGTGGATAGAATGTTCCTTACATTGGAGGTCAGTTGTAACAATGCTCCTTGCATTGGTGGTCAATGTGAAGAATGCTCCTTACATTGGTGGTCAGTGAGAAGAATGTTCCTTACATGGGTGGTCAGTGGGAAGAATTCTCCTTACATTGGTGATCAGTGGGAAGAATGTCCCTTACATTGGTGATCAGTGGGAAGAATGTCCCTTACATTGGGGGTCAGTGGGAAGAATGCTCCTTACATTGGTGGTCAGTGAGAAGAGTGGGTGTCCTTACATTGGGTGGTCAGTGGGAAGAATTCGCCTTACATTGGTGGTCAGTTGGAAGAATGTTCCTTACATTGGTGGTCAGTGAGTAGAATGCTCCTTACATTTTTTGGTCATTGGAAAGAACACCCCATTCATTGGCGGTCAATCGGAGGAATGTCCCTTACATTGGTGGTCTTTGGGAAGAATGTCCCTTACATTCGTGATCAGTGGGATGAATGCTCTTTACATTGGAGGTCAGTGGGAGGAATGTCCCTTACATTTGTGGCCAGTGGGAATAATGTTCCTTACATTGGTGGTCAGTGGGGAAAATGCCCCATTATATTGTCAGTCATCGTGAAGAGGGATCCATACATTAGTAGTCAGTAGAAGGAATGTCCCTTACATTGGTGGTCAGTAGGAAAAATGCAACCATTAAGTGTTACTAACCCAGGACCCTGTATTCACTATATCCGCTCTCCCCCCGGACCCTGCATTCACTATATCCGCTCTCCCCGGACCCTGCATTCACTATATCCGCTCTCCCCGGACCCCGCATTAAAACTATATCCGCTCTCCCCGGACACCCGCATTCACTATATCCGCTCTCCCCGGACCCCGCATTCACTATATCCGCTCTCCCCGGACCCTGCATTCACTATATCTGGTCTTCCGGGGACCCCCGCATTCACTATATCCTCTCGTCCCGGACCCCGCTTTCACTATATCTGGTCTCCCCGTAACCCTGCATTCACTATATCCGCTCTCCCCGGACCCCGCATTCACTATATCTGCTCTCCCCGGACCCTGCACTCACTATATCCGCTCTCCCCCGGACCCTGCATTCACTATATCCGCTCTCCCCGGACCCTGCATTCACTATATCGGTCTCCCACAGTACACAGATCATGGAAATGCAATTATTTTAGTAAATATAAACTGCTAAATCCCTTTTCTCATCAGCAATATATAGCAGTCTTGTGACTTTTTATCAGTGTCCGGCTGAGCACTGGTTAAAGTTGTAGGAGGAGTTCTCATTCCCTGATTGTCCTCTGAGGCTGCAGACCCCTGACCCTCTGTCTGGACAGCGCTGATTGGCCCTGTGCTGATCACATTCACTCTCCCAACAAAAAGAAAAAACTTCTAGCAGTACACACTAAACTGAGCATGTGCAGAGTGTCCCCAAGGCTGTGTTCTATCAGGAGATAAAATAGGGAACGTGGAAGAAGGGAAAGGTAGGATCAAGCAGCCTTTTTACACAATGCGGAGGATTAACCCCTTAGGTTCCACAGTGAGTATAACAAGCATGCTGTACTGCATATACAGACTGATTATACTGATGTGGGTTTAGTAACACTTTAAAGACTCCAAAGATGAGTGGTGTTATACTGCTGGTTTTGCCAAATGGTATCGGATGTATACAGACACCATAAGATGGGATGTCAGTCGTCAAGGAGCCCTTAGAATCCTCTTGAGGAACCTTAGTGTTGAACAGAACCCATGTTGAGAATATCTGGTGTATCCCTTCCATAGTAATTGTATAAAGTGAATATGATTATTGGTTTAAATGAACTATTTTAGGGTTGTTTTTGTTTCCTTGTATGAGTTCACTTTCCACTTTTATAGTAAAATAAATTCAATTGTGATCTGGTTCTCATTATCTGTGTCATATGTTCTCCTCAATCACTCAGTATTTCCTATACATCTTACAGACAGTTTTGACCGGAGGTTATGAGATCAGCTCTGTATTATATCTGCAGTAATAAAATGAGCCAAAAACATATTTTTTTTAAACAACGGCATCTTGTATGAATGAGTAATACAATAACATGTAATACAAAGTATAAAATGTACAAATATAAGTTACTGAAGCATTTAGTGATATTCCTCACAATTTACGACAAGCGCCATCCTCCACACAGAGCAAATAAATTTTCCACGATGATGAAGCCATCTATGAGAGCTGGAATGTCGGATCGATGAATCAATATTTATCCATCATTAACTCCACTGTTGCTATAATGTTTATTTTAAGTCACTCTGGGTTTTATGGCCGTGTTGGATCACACTGGAAGGAGTCAAATGACTGGTGTACAAGCACATAGATCAATGAAGTGTCCATGGAAAATCCATACTATCCCCCCCCCGTCCACCCCCCCTCCTATAAAACCATAAATGATGAGATCCTTTCCTGAGAAATCTCTTTGTGGGTTTTTTTGGGGGGTTATTTTTTTGTCATTTTTTTCTTTGTATTACAAAATGAAAACCCTGACACATGACCAGGAAGGATCAGAATTAGATATCTGAAAATAAGATGCTATATTAACATTTATATCCAGACCTCCAGCCTTCTCTCCAGTCGTGCACAGTTGTACCGCCCCTCCCCTTCAGTCTTGCACATGTGTACTGGCTCCTCCCCTTCAGTCTTGCACAGGTGTACCGGCTCCTCCCCTTCAGTCTTGCACAGTTGTACTGGATCCTCCCCTTTCAATCTTGCACAGTTGTACCGGATCCTCCCCTTCAGTCTTGCACATTTGTACCCGGATCCTCCCCTTCAGTCCTGCACAGTTGTGGCGGATCCTCCCCTTCAGTCTTGCACAGGTGTACCGGCTCCTCCCCTTCAGTCTTGCACAGTTGTACCGGATCCTCCCCTTCAGTCTTGCACAGGTGTACCAGCTCCTCCCCTTCAGTCTTGTACAGGTGTACCGGCTCCTCCCCTTCAGTCTTGTACAGGTGTACCGGCTCCTCCCCTTCAGTCTTGTGTTCCGGCTCCTCCCCTTCAATCTTGCACAGGTGTACCAGCTCCTCCCCTCCAGTCTTGTACAGGTGTACCGGCTCCTCTCCTTCAGTCTTGCACAGGTGTACCGGCTCCTCCCCTTCGGTCTTGCACAGGTGTACCGGCTCCTCCCTTTCAGTCTTGCACAGGTGTACCGGCTCCTCCCCTTCAGTCTTGCACAGGTGTGCCGGCTCCTCTCCTGGACTGAAATGGCTTACTCTGATTTCACTGCACACTGTGAGCTTCTCACAAGGTGCATTAGAAGCTGCAGCAAGTCAGACAGAGCTCCGCCTCATTTCCTGGCTGGAGGACATCCAGCATCATCTAGAACAGTTCTCCCCAGCCAGACAGTCCCTGGCCCCGCCCCTTTCATAAACTGGATTTCAGTTCTTTCAAACATGGAAGTTCAGCATCACAAGTGGGCATTACCTAGAGTTCAAATACTGCATGCAATGCAAATACAGGCTGCCTAGAGAATCAGAATATTGGATTGACAGCTTCTACAGACTGAACATTTCCATGATTGCCTTGGGTTGTGATAGGAACAAGCGAATCTAGAACTGAAACAGCACACTGTACATCCAGATACAAGTTTATTCAGACAGAGTGTTTACAAAGCAAAGTGTTTCAGAGGCTGTAAATCCACCCCCCTTCATCAGGTCAGGTCTTGAAGAAAGTTAAACAATGTATGCAAACTTAAAAATGTATGGTTGGATGTTATGATAGGGAGTAGGTTTGCACAGAATCCATCCATCACCAAGGTTTCTGTTATGGCACTCTCAGAATCCCTGCTGGGACTTCCACAACCCTAACTTTCAGAATCTCTACCAGGACTTACAGAACTACTCTCAGAATCTCTGCCTGGACCTCTGGAACTCCAACTCTCAGAATCCCTGTCTGGACTTCCAGAACTCCAACTCTCAGAATTCCTGCCAGGATGTCCAGAACTCCAACTCTCAGAAACACTACTAGGATTTCAAAACCTCCAAATCTTAGAATCCCTGCCAGGACTTCAAGAACTCCAATTGCCAGAATACCTACCTGGACTTCAAGAACCCCAACTCTCAGAATCATTGCCAGGACTTTCAGAAAGCTAACTCTTAGGATCCCTGCCAAGACTATAAGAACCCCAACTCTTAGAATCCCTGCCAGGACATGAAGAACCCCAACTCTTAGAATCCCTGCCAGGACATGAAGAACTCCAACTCTTAGAAAGCCTTCCAGAACTTCAAGAACCCCAACTCTTAGAATCCCTGCCAGGATTTCAAGAACTCCAACTCTCAGAAACACTACGAGGATTTCAAGAACTCCAAATCTTAGAATCCTTGCCAGGACTTCAAGAACGCCAATTCTTAGAAAGTCTTCCAGAGCTTCAAGAACCCCAACTCTTAGAATCCCTACCAGAACTTCAAGAACTCCAACTCTCAGAAACACTACCAGGATTTCAATAACTCCAAATCTTAGAATCCCTGCCAGGACTTCAAGAACGCCAATTCTCAAAATCCCTGCCAGGACTTCAAGAACTCCAATTCCCAGAATCCCTGCTAGAACTTCAAGAACTCCAACTCTGAGAATCTCTGGGTCAGGGTTCGGATCTTAATGTGGCTGTTTTTGTTGAGTCAGCTGAGATGCTGGACAGCTCCCTGTCTGATTTCTTAGGACAATCTTTGTCTCTTTTTTCTGCTGAACCTTGAACTCTTTGCTCCTCCATTGAACTTCCTTATTTAGGCCATGTCCCTGCACCTCCTGTTTTTAAGATTATTGTACTCTCTCCAGCTAAAATCTGGTTCCTTTACATACCTGCAGCTGTCCTTATCTCCATTGCCATTGATTATTGACCTTTGTCTTGTTCCTTGACTACTCTTCTGCTTGATCCAAACCAGCAACCACATGTTACCGACCTTTGGATTGTTTACTGACTACACTTCTGCTTGATCCTTACCTGCTTTACCTTTATGGATCCTGGCTTTCTCACCTCCTGGTGGGGTGATCCTGAGGTCTGCCTGACCTAACATGCAGCAAAACCCATCTCCACCATCAGGAGCTCTGGTGAATACTGGTTAGTGCTTAGACCATGCACCTCGGGTGAGCCCGTGTCATCCGCCAGTGTGATTTGCTTGTATATTCATCCTGCTGATCAGTGAGAGCCTCTCTACTGCTATAGCTACTGGTCTCCAAACGAGACCCTGGCCATGACAGCCTGCCAGGACTTCCAGATCTCTAGCTCCCAGAATCCTTGCCTGGACTTCCAGCACTCCAACTTTCAGAATTGCTGCCAGACTTCCAGAACTCCAACTCTCAGAATCCCTGCTAGGACTTACTTCCAGTGGTACCAAATACAGACCCCCCAACCCACCCCTCTAAAGTAGCAGACCCTTGCCCAGGAGGAGTGCAGGCAGCTGGAGAAGTGACTGGAGTGAGCGGACACATTTAGAGCCATACATACCTAGGGTGGAGTAAAAGGAGATCCCAGACTTTCTAAGCATGGTCCCTGTGGGGACCTGTCCCTGCTGTTTGCTCTGCTCTCTGCACTTACTGAAGGCACTATCTTCCCCTGCTATAAGCATGAATACTGATCTGACAAGGGGATGGCTGGAGGATGCGGGGGAGGGGGGGGGGCGTCGTGGAAGATTCTGTGCAAAAAGCTCTCACTGCCCCACCTCCCCACATAATAAAATTGTGCATAGGGCATGTACCCTTTCTGTCCCCCTTGTCCCTGTCCTGCTTCCCATACTAGGCATACGGAAAGAGCTGTTGGAAGATGTAGTTCTGGGGGAGTGCCTATGTCAACAAGAACTGACACCCAGCAAAGATTTTACAAGAGTGGTGATGATGATGCAGGCAGTAATAAAGGTTTGTTGCTAAAGGAACATGATTAAAAAATAAAATGATGGGCAATGCCTGGACATCCTCCTAAAAAAGAGAAGAAATGTGTGCATGTTATATTACAATTAGATACATTTGGAGGAGAGTTTGATGTGAGTCGTTTAAAAGTGGCCTGGAGCCCTTTTTGTCACCCCCCCTTGTCCTTGACCTGTTCCCATACTAAGCATACAGAAAGGGCTGTTGGAAGATGTAGTTCTGGGGGAGTGCCTGGGTCAACAGGAACTGACCTTCCAGCAGCAGCCCCAGCAAAGATTCTGCAAGAGTGGTGATGATGATGCAGGCAGTAATAAAAGTTTCTTGCTAAAGGAACATGATTAAAAAGTGAAAATGATGGGCAATGCCTGGACATCCTCCTTAAAAAGAGATGAAACGTGTGCATGCTATCTGACAATTAGGTACGTTTGGAGGAGATTTTGATGTGAGTCCTCTAAAAGTGGCCTGGAGCCCTCTCTTCCCTCTAATTAGAGACGTTCCTTCTTCCCCGCTTTGCCTTTTTCTCCAGACCGTGTGCTAATTTTCTCTCCTGCTCTCCGGCTCCGATTGTCCTTTGGGTCTCCCTGTTGTTATGAATGATCTGGAAGTGAACAAGTCATTATCCGAATTTGTCAGTGTATCATTAACAGCAGTTAAATGACAGCCGCGATTATCCCAGGAAAAGAGACATCACTTTTTGTGTAACTGCGTCACACCAGTCAATTTATTCTGCTTTTTTTTTTTGGACACTGGCTAGATACAAATAAACGAGCTCTATGAGAGCTGGCACCGCTCGTCAAGATCCATCAAAGGGGCCTAGAACGGAACAGATGAGATACTGAATGGAAATGATGGGGACAGAGCGGGTATCTCTCCCCAGAGCGCCATGTACAAGGACAGATTGGTCTCAGGGAGGGACGTCTGGGGGGCGCCGCATGCTTCTGCTTACGAACACAAGCTGAAATTTTGGTTATCAGCCCGCAATAGCACAAGATATTACCCCGTCGCTGTAAATTGGATGCAATTCGGCGTGTTCATTTTCACGCCGCCAACCCAGAATACATCAGCTGCAGAATAATGACTGAGTCGCATGTGACGGTGCATCACTATGGCAGCCTTGAAGAAGTTAGGCAGATCCAGTCAAGTGTTCGCTGTCTTTCACACATCAATGCCATGCTACTGACAATGAGATATGTTACAGCTGGACTGTGTTAGCATTAACGCTTTGAGACGTGGCGTATCGGCCAAGATGACCCGTCTCAGCCACTATATGCCTACCTTTTTTTTTTCCCTCGGCTGTGGATTACATGTAAAGTAAATAGCTAACGTCTAAAACGATCAATGTTGATTGACTTTAAAAAGCAGCTCAAAGCAACAAGTAAAATCAATCAGTAAACTCCTAGTTTAATCAGAAAAAAAAACTACAATTACACTAAAGCCATAAAATCAATGCAATTTATCTTAAAAGAGAGGCAGTGAGGGCTGGGCACTTGCAAAGGTCCTCCACTCTTCCATTAAAGCCGTATGGCTGTGCTGATATTTGCTTGTTCTCTCCCTGTCAGAGCAGAAATGTCTGAAGAGTGTCGCAAGGCACCAATAGTCCTCATATTTTATAACTAACAATTCATTCAGCCAATAGGGAATGGAGATTGTGGGAAGGCAGGTGTCACAGCCAGAGGTCAAGCTTGGAGACCAGTTGTCAGAGCCTGGGATTGAACCTGGGCCTTCTGCAGTGAGAGGCAATGCTTCTTCTCACTGAGCCACCTGGAATGCTGGACAGTGCCCTTGACAGTTCTTTGTATGATCCTGCTTTGGCCCTGTTTGCCTTGAACCTTGAACTCCTTGCTCCTCCCATGAACTTCCTATAAAAGCCATGTCCATGCACTTCCTCCTTGCCAGATTATTGTGCCCTCCCAGCCAATATCCTGCTTATCGTTCCTGCTGCTGTCTACATCTTCGTTACGACCTTTGGCTTGCTACTGACTACGATTTTGCCTCATCCTAATCTACTACCATTTGTGACTGACTCTTGGCTTGTGACTGACTCTGCTTCTGTTTGATCCCTACACTGTTTGATCTGCTATTGGCTTCCAGCTTGCTCATTCCCTGGTGGGGTGATCCTGAGATCTGCGACCTGGTATTAACACGCAGCCCAATCCATCTCCACCATTAGGAGCTCTGATGAAAACCAGTTAATACTTAGACCCCGCACCTCAGGTGAGCCTACGTCATTCCCAGGGGGACCCGCTGGTGTACCTATCCTGCTGGTTTCAGGTAAGCCTTTTACTGCTATAGCAACTGGTCTCTGAACCTGACCGCATATCATGACAGAATAATCTGGCAAGGAGGAAGTGCATGGACATGCCTTTTATAGGAAGTTCATGGGAGGAGCAAGGAGTTCAGGGTTCAAGGCAAACAGGGCCAAGGCAGGATCATCCAAATTGTCAAGGGAGCTGTCCAGCATTCCAGGTGGCTCAGTGAGAAGAAACATTGCCTCTCACTGCAGAAGGCCCAGGTTCAATCCCAGGATCTGACACCAGTAGCTATAGAAGTAGCAAGGCTTTCACAGACCAGCAGGATAGGTATACATGATGGTCACCCTGACAGATGTCATGAGCTCATCTGAGTTGCGGTGTTTAAAGTGGTGCTAAAGACTCAAGGTTTTTTGCATTCTTGGATTCCTTTATGAGAAGAAATGAGAGGATATGGACTTATTGAAGTTGTGGTTATCATTTTTTGTGACCAGGCGTCGCTTGATTTGCATATTTATTTTGGTTTTGCTGCATCGTAGTACCAGGTCGTGGTCTTCGGGATCACCCCACCAGTAGGTGAGCAAGCCGGGGTCCAGTAGCAGATACGGCAGGTAGGGATAAAGAAGAAGCATGGTCAGTAAACAAGCAACGAGTCAGTAATGAGTGGTTGCAGATTTGAAGCAAGTCAAAGGTCGATAATGAATGGTTGCAGATCAAGTAGAAGTATAGTTGAGAAACAGGCCAAAGGTTGGTAACAAGTGGTAGTGGAGATAAGAACAGCTGCAGGTATGCAAAGGAGCAAGAAATCGGCTGAAGAGAGCACAATAATCTAGCAAACTATAAGTGGTTGCAGGTTGGGACCAAGTAGACATGTAGTTGAGGAACAAGCCAAAGGTTGGTAATAAAGAATGACTGCAGGTTGCAACCAATGAATGGTTCCAGGTTGGGATCAAGTAGAAATGTAGTTGAAGAACAAGCCAAAGGTTAGTAAAGAGTGGTAGTAGAGATATGAACAGCTGCAGGTCCGCAAAGGAGCAGGATATCGGCTGGAGAGAGCACAATAATCTGGCAAACAATGAATGGCTGCAGGTTGGGAACAAGTAGACGTGTAATTGAGGAACAAGCCAAAGATTGGTAATAACGAATGGTTGCAGGTTGCAACCAATGAATGGTTCCAGGTTTAGATCAAGTAGAAGAGTAGTTGAGGAACAAGCCAAAGGTTTGTAACGAGTGGTAGTGGAGACAAGAACAGCTGCAGGTACGCAAAGAAGCAAGATATATTAAAATCCCCTGCAGTAGGGCTGTACCCACATTGCAAGGTTTAATTGCTTGTTTTGTCTAGGGGAGAGGATAAACACTTTCACTTACCTGACCCTTCACTCCCCCAGCAAATAATGCTCCTCCCCCATACTCCGGCGGTGGACTGTCCTTTGTTAGTATCAAGTCAAATACAGAACTATGGACCCTTCTTTGGTCTTAATGGACCCTTCTTTGGTCTTGATGACACCAAGACCCTAGACCCCTGGAGTGTGGGGGGAGAAGACGCTGCAGGGACAAATCAGAGCAGAAGGGAGGACCAGAGGATTCGTTAAGTAAATCTTTTTATTGTTCCCCCTAGACCAGCGGTTCTCAACCTGTGGGTCGCGACCCCTTTGGGGGTCGAACAACCCTTTCACAGGGGTCTCCTAAGACCATCGGAAAACACTTATTTCTGATGGTCTTAGGAACCGAGACACCACTCCTCTATCAGTCTCCAGGCGGGTCCGCCCACATGCAGATATGTCCACATTTCTCTGGACCGCGATGTGTGGGCGGGATGACATGCCGCCCCTGTCATCTGGCCACATCCCCGGGATCACTCAACAGCTCCGCCTCCTCGCCAGTGATTGGCCACCGGAACTGTAGCTCAGGAGAGGCACACAGGCGGCCAATCACCGACGAGGAGGAGGAGCCGAGCAGCAGCGCTAAGATCAAAGAAGATCGAGCAAGGGAGCGGCCGGAGAAGGAAGACAGCTGACAGGTCACTATTCCCCCCCCCCCACTGACACCAATGATGGGGCACTATTCCCCCCACACTGACACCAATGATGGGGCACTGTTCCTCCCACTGACACCAACGATGGGGCACTGTTCCTCCCACTGACACCAACGATGGTGCACTGTTCCTCCCACTGACACCAATGATGGGGCACTGTTCCTCCCACTGACACCAACGATGGGGCACTGTTCCTCCCACTGACACCAACGATGGGGCACTGTTCCTCCCACTGACACCAACGATGTGGCACTGTTCCTCCCACTGACACCAACGATGTGGCACTGTTCCTCCCACTGACACCAACGATGTGGCACTGTTCCTCCCACTGACACCAACGATGTGGCACTGTTCCTCCCACTGACACCAACGATGGGCACTATTCCTCCCCTGACACCAACGATGGGGCACTATTCCTCCCACTGATACCAATGATGGGACACTATTCCTCCCACTGACACCAATGATGTGGCACTACTCCTCTCACTGCAAAATTACAGTTATGAAGTAGCAACGAAAATAATTTTATGGTTGGGGGTCACCACAACATGAGAAACTGTATTAAAGGGTCGCGGCATTAGGAAGGTTGAGAACCACTGCCCTAGACCAAAACGAGCAGTGTGGGAGCAACCCCAGTACAAGGGATAGTTTTTTAGTTGCCTGCAGTTGGATTTTAACCAGATTGGTTTTCCTAGCAGGCTGGACAATACAAGGGATTCGGGTCCCCCTATCCCTCCCAATAATTATGTCCCTGACAGTCACAGATGTTTAATTACCTGTGAAATTGCCCGATCTACTTTTGGTTTCAGAAAGGCTGTTCATTTCTGTTACAATTATATCCTAGCAATGCTGCAATCAGATAAAAAACTGGGATTGAAACATACGTGGGCAACTTTGTATTTAATTGCAGCAGATTGCCGGCTGCTCCATAGCGCGGGGGTCATTCGGATGCCTGCTGTGTGTTTTCATAGCGTCGTCTTTGATACTGACCACAATCTTCTGTCTCATATTTTGTCCCTGTCTGTTACTATTTCCAGCCGTGATTCAGCCGGGTCATTTTTGAACAGACATCAGTACATCAGTTCTCGGAGACAACACCTTGAGATATTAGTGAGATTCTACAGAGCCTGTGAGTCAGTGTCCTCAGAATAGATGTCTAGCAAAATATGTTACATGAGACATAAAGGGGAAGGTGAAGATTGCAGAGATTGCATAGCCAAGCTGGACATGCTCAATGCAGAGCCTAACGTCTGGTCATTAAAGTGGACCTGTCATCATGCTATTTTCAATAATGTGTCTAGTGTCAGTAAACATTTCCAGGTATGCATTACCTCCCACATATATCACAACACAACCCCTCACAATGCTTCCATCTGTGTTTTCTGTCCAAAAGGACAGAGCCACATTCGTTTAGCCATCTTTCAGGGTCACCATCTACATGGTCATGCAAACCCTGGTGTTTGTGCAGTTCATAGCTCTGTTTGGAAATGTTGGACACAGATCAGCCCCTGCCGCAGCTTCTCATCTTATGATTTGGCTACAAAGTTACAAAGTGTCAATCTTATCTGTGGGTCAGAGACTGAGGACATGCTTCCTCCTGCCTGCAGCAGACTGATGACATCATCTACTCCTAAGCAAAGTAAGTGACTGAAGTGAATAGCATTGATTATCTTGTGACAATGGCACCTGAAAGTCGGGGGGATATATTAGGCAACAGGTGAACATTTTGCCCATGAAGTTTCTGTGTTGGAAGCAGAAAAAAATGGGCATCGCAGTTTGTTGTGTATGGCTATGCGTAGCCACAGACCAATCTAGGTGCCCGTGCTGACCCGTTTCCATAGCCAAAAGTGTCTACAATGGGAATGTGAGCATCAGAACTGGACCACGGAGCAATGGAAGAACGTGGCCTGATCTGATGAATTGTATGTTCTTTTATAGTCCACGTGGATGGTCAGGTGTGTGTGTGCCTCGCTTAGGAAGAGATGGCACAAGGATGCAGTAGGGGAAGAAGAAAAGCCGACAGAGGCAGTGTGAAGCTTTGAGCAATGTTCTGATGGGAAACCTTAGTTCCTGCCATTCATGTCGATGTTACTTGACATGTTCCACCTACCTAAACATTGTTGGTGACCAAGTACACCCCTTCATGTAAATGGTAATGGCAGTGGCTTCATTCAGCAGTATATTTGCCACACCACAAAAATGGTTCAAGAATGGTTTGTGGAAACACAACAATATGTTTGAGGTGTTGACTCCAATTTCTCCAGGTCTCATTCCATTGAGCATCTGTGGGGTGTGCTGGAAAAACAAGTCCAGGCCACCAACTTACAAGACTTAAAGGATCTGTTACTGGTGGCTTGGTGCCAGATACCACAGCATATCTTTAGAGGTCTAGTGGTGTCCATGCCAAGATGGGTCTGGGCTGTTTTGGTGACAAAAAATGGCACTTACTCAATATTTGGTGGGTGGTCATAAAGTTATGGCTGATCTGTGTATATTGTAACCAGGGGCAGACTGCCCATTTGGAAACTCAGGCACTGCTCAAGGGCCCAGGGTCAGTAGGGGCCCCATGAGATGCCCCTGGTACCTTTTTCATAGGCTTTTTTGAGTTTGACACCAATGATGGGGTACTATTCATCCCACTAATACCATCCATGGGGCACTATTCCTCCCACTAGTACCAATGATGGGACACTATTCCTCCCATTAAAATCAATCACGGGGCACTATACCTTTTTCAAGCCCGAGGCATTGTTGACTCCCACTGACACTGAGGCATTTATGTATTCCCACTGGGCACTCTGGCACCCCTAAAGTCTGAAGAACAGTAAACTGGCCCTTTGGAAAGTTTGGAGACCCCTGGTCTAGACACAGGAATGGAACCTGGATAGAGAACCCAGTAGCTGAAATTGAAGAGTAAGAGTGGAGTTCAAACAATTGAGTGTATGGCTGTGAACAGCCAGCATTGAAAAGAATTGGATTCCTACTGCTGAACATTTAAGCCCCCATTTACACCTGAGCGTCTTTGCTGGGTTTTTTGGCACTTAAACCTATGCATAACAACGCTCAGCAATAGGAATCCCATTCTTTTCAATACAGGCTGTTCACAGCTCTATTCTCGAGTCCTGTTGTGTGTTTTTGGTTCCATGGACCTCATTAGTAGCACCCAGTGGCGGACTGACCATTTGGAAACTCGGGCCTGGTTTCCAGGTCAGTGTGCAGGGCAGAGGTGAGCGAAATTCAGAAACAGTTCGATCAGTCGTGGTTTAAAGGTTTTACACTCAAGCCTTAATATATTTATTTTTTTATAGGTACTTATATAGCGCCGTCAATTTACGCAGTGCTTTACATATATATTGTACATTCACATCAGTCCCTAACCCTCAAGGGGCGTACAATCTAAGGTCCCTAACTCACATTCAAATACTAGGGCCAATTTAGACAGGAGCAGGGGCGGACTGACCATTTGGGCTCTCGGGCACTGCCTGAGGGCCCAGGGTCAGTAGGGGGCCCCATGAGATGCCCCTGGTACCTTTTTCATAGGCTTTTTTGAGTTTGGGCAAGGACACAGAGGCCCCATGATCCCCTATTTCCCAGGGGCCCCATGAGTTGTTAGTCCGCCCCTGATTGTAACATGTCGGAAATCTATTCCTGACTTGTAAAGCCACTGAAAGGTGCAATTTAATAACAAAGTAATATTTTTAGCCATAATGGATCCACTTTTTTAGGCGCAGCTGTTACTGGTTCACCTCCATGACCCCCTATGCTTTATGGATGTCTTCCTGTAAAGACAAATACATCTGATAACTCCCATAATACTAAAATTATTTATCTGGGGAGTTTCTGCTCTGATTTGATAAATCTGTCTGACCTGTGCCTGAACTCTGAGCCAGTTTTAATATTTCCATCAGCCCGTAGCAGAGCAGGAAACAAACCCCGGGTTTTACTACAGGTAGAGCTTGCAGACAGCATGCTTCATCTGTCACTTCAGCTCCTTGTACAGTATCTCTCATGTTAGGAGCCAAACCAGCTTTTAGCGTGGGCGTTACGTGAATAAACATCTGCAGAACAGACTTGGTGAGCCTGCATAACTCAATTCAGGGATATCAAAAATAATTTCCCCAAATTCAGGGCTCCAGGGCTGCCTGCAATTGTTTCCCCAAACTCGGGACTCCAGGGCTGCCTGCAATTGTTTCCCCAAACTCGGGACTCCAGGGCTGCCTGCAATTGTTTCCCCAAACTCGGGACTCCAGGGCTGCCTGCAATTGTTTCCTGAAACTCGGGACTCCAGGGCTGCCTGCAATTGTTTCCTCAAACGTGGGACTCTAGGTGTCACGTAGCTGGTTGGGGAGCCTGATGTGGAGAGAGGGCGTCCTCTTACAACTCCCGCTGGGAGCCCCTGGAAGTGGGAACAGGGGCGCAGAGCCAGAAGTGGCCGGAGTGCCGGGTAGATCTTGAAGCTGTCGGCAGGTAGCTGGGGACCCAGGAGATCCGGGCACAAGCCAGGTGCGGGTGCAGGAACGTAGGTGCAGCAGCAAGCAGGTGTGGCGGCAGTCAGGATGCGGGTTTTGGACCGGGCACCGGTGCGTGGATGCGGTGGCTGACAGGTATGGCGGTGATCCAGATGCAGAGCCGTGGGTGCAGCGGAAGGTGAGTATGGTAGCCAACAAGATGCAGGTCAGGTACAGGTGCAGGCAGGATAATATAGCAGAAATCAGACAAGCCGGGTCAGTATCAAGCGGGCAGATAAGTACAAAAGAAGCAGGCAAGAGAATGGTCAGGGATAGCCGGGGTCAGTGCAGGCGGAGTTCTTTCTTAGTCAGGTAATGCAGAATACAGATATCAGGATCAGGAATATATGCAGGAACGTTGTAGACCAGATGGCAGTGATTTTACTACTAAGCAGGTTTAGATAGCTCGCCTGACGTGACGTGTGCGCTTACTGCGCATTCGCGAGTTTTCCACGCTACTACGCATGCGTGGCCGCACGCTC